AAAAATGTATGCTCAAAGTTTGGTGTTTAACTATGAGAATATTAGATTTGTAATTATGATTCGGTTTAATAATTAAATGTGTAAATTGAAGGTTTGAGTTTTATTATGATAGATAAGATTTGAGTATATAAGGTTTAGAGTTCATGGTTATGATTTTAAGTTAAAATTCAAAAATAAATTTGAATTTATTTGAAGAATTTAATTTAAGTTTGATTTTATATTCAGTTTAGATTTTAGATTTAAAGTTATGAGTTTAGAATAAGGTTTGAGTATAGGGTTTGAGGGTTAAAGGTTTAGGGTATTATGATTTAAGATTAATTATTGAAAAAGATATAGTGTTTGAGTTTATATTTAATATTTGATGTTAAGTTTAAGAATTGATATTAAAATATTTAGATTTTGAAGTTATGTTTAAAGTTTAGGGTTTAAAAACTTGTTTAGGGTTTAGAGATTTAAAAAGTTAAAGATAGCGTTTTTAATAATGTGCTATTAGAAATACGCTATCATAGCGTTTTTAAATATACAATTCTATCATAGCGTTTCTGAATATACAAACGCTATCTAAAACTAACTCGTATGTCAACCATAGCAGAAAGACAAAAAACGTTATCCTTCACCGCTATCAAAGCCCATTTTTCTTGTAGTGAACTCTCCTCCTAATATTAAAGCAACAGTGCTCGTATACTTCAGCTTTTCCTTGAAGTGTCTAATAGCATTGTCATTGCTATAAGCATTGTCAACAGTGATAGTAAAAATCTTCTTCTATTCCCCATTCTATCATACAACTCTTAAGCCTCTCTGCAATAGTCTCTCCCTTATGATCAGGAACAGGTTTAAAACTTATGATTTTTCTTTTTAAACACCAGTTCTCATTGATAAAGTGAGACGTGATAACCATATAACTTATACTAGTAGTAGATGTAGTCCACAAGTCTGTAGTCAAGCACAATCTTTGCTTATTCTTACTGAACAAGCTCTTTAGAAATGCTTTTTCTTCCATGTACATTTTGACTACATCCCTAGTGATTGTAGACCGTGAAGGAATCTCAAATTTAGGGACAGCAACCTCACAAAATTGAACAAATTCTGGACGTTCCACAAATGCAAATGGTAACTCATCCAAAACAATCATCCAAGTAGTTGCTTTTCGGCAAGCATTTTGATCAAATCCAACTGACACCAGCTGACCAGATTCACTACTTTTAACCAACGTTGTTTGAGAGTCAGAAGCAGCAGTAGTAGGTTTGTAGCCTTTGCATGCATTGTGATGAGTCCACAAAACACTAGTACCAGACTTTGATTTATACTTAAGGACTGAAGGGCAGTGGTTACATCTAACCTTTTCTGGATCATCTTTAGATTTGGTAAAGTGTTTCCAAGCATCAGAACGAGTTGGTTTTGTCAACGGCTCATTAGTAGCATTGGTAGAAGGTTGTGTTGGTTGCTTCCTTTTTTGTCATGCAGATTGAGTTTTATTGGCTATAGAATCTCCCATCTACAATAAGTATAAGAAACAGTGAGTTTCTAACTTAATTATGAATAAGAGAAACAAACAAAACATGAAGCCAACAAATTCTTTTGAACTTGGTTTGTTCTTCTTGTTCTCCTCTGTTTTTTCAAAGAAATCTAATGCTGCTATATAATTTTATAATTTATTAAAGCATGAAAACTCAAACTGAAACTAGATAAAAGTTGAAGAAAAGTAAAATTGTTTTATTAAAAACACACCTTCAATTTCGTTAATGGCAATGAAAGGAAGATAAAACAGTAAAAGAAGAGTCTAAGAAGAAGACTCGGTGGCTGCGTGATTAATTATAGTTTATGCGTTGTTCAACTTAGAGCTTTTTACTAGTGTAGAAAATATGGTAATTATTTATATGGTATTTAACTATTAACAAAAATAAACCTAACTTCTATAACAAAAAGATTATCATGTGACGTTATATTATATATACATTTATAATTTTATATGTTTTTGCTTGATCGGTTTTGTTGGTTATAAACCTAACCATATCCAAATCCTACGATTTTTGTAAAATCATATCCATTCGGTTTATATGGTATATACCAAATCTAAACCATATTATCTATTTCGGTTCTGTTCGGTTTTACCATATTGAACAGGCTTACTCGATAGCCTTATTTTGCTGCACTGGATGAGTTTTCCTCTGCCCAAGGTTACTGATTCTAATTGATGAAAGCCTTAAAGCTACTACATTAACCTCCTCCGGCCACTAAACTCACTACGTAGACTTCGATGTTCCCTCTCCAACATCGATTTCATAATCCCCGATTCTTCATAGTATAAATAAGTAATGAAGTCATCTCAGTTCTGTATAATATCCTAATAAGTAAGTGATTTAAATTCTAGAAACCATTCCCTTCTTTTTTGGTAACACTAATCTTAGTTTATTCACATTCGTCATTCTTCATTGCTCTTGACTTTGATTATCCATTTATTTTAGCAGAAAAAATGCATCAGATTCAGAAGTAATTCTATTTTATATATCATAGTGCTTCATGCTTTTTTTGTGTTGTCAATTCAGTTGAATGTGATCAATTAAATTGATGATTTCCTTAGTTCAAGCTATGCAATTAATCCTCACTCATGTTTAATGGTGAATCGGTCTCTCTTCCAAATCGATTTTCATATTTCCATAATTCTCATATCATTTTGTTTCTTATGGATCAGATCAAACCTTCATTTCCATCGTCGATTAAAATTACATCTATCGTATCTCAGATTGGGTCGTCGAACACAACAACAACCGCATTGCACATTTCAGGTTTTTCGGGTGAACCAAATTAATAAAATCCTTTGAAATGGGTTGTCCATATTAGAAAGAACCAAATCAAGCTGGTTTTACAAGGATTTATTGCTTGGGCGAGCACAGAACATGTGAAGGCATGTGTTTCCAGTGGTCAAAATGCCGAATTATATGTGTTTAAATTTGAATAATAGAAGGATAAGTGATATATAGGAAAGTGACCCGTGATACTATTTGAGTGAAGCCAAAGCACAAACAATATCATGTGGTGATCGCAAAATTAGAAACACGTCTTTCGAACCTCTGCATAACTAGTGCACCATAGGTTAGTGGCGGAGGAAGTGCTTAGGGAGGGGGATCAGTTGACCCTATGAATTTTCACTACAAAAAAATTACATGTACTTTTACTTAGAAAACTAGAGAAATTTTATAAAATCAGTACATTGACCCCTGTAATATTTACTTAAAATTAACCTGATCAATAGATTTGCTCATATTGACCCCCTTAAATTTTGTGGTTGGCTCCGCCACTGCCATAGGTCTTGTGGAATGGAACCTCATTTAATTTATTAGTGTTTGGATTAAAAATATTAGAACAATATATCAATTGTTCTAGTTTTATTTTTGGATTAAGAATAGCTTTTATCAGAAAAGTATACTTATATAAACTAAAACATAAAGTTTCGAGTATTCAGGATCAACTTAACCCAAACAAAGTTTAAACTCAAAATGTTTATAGTTTAAATAGCTTAGCTTACAAAACTTAACTTTTGGAGTTATGTAACTAAATCTAAACCCGGTAATATTTATAGAGTGGGTGAATTCCAATTTGGATTTCAATCATAACTGACATTTCTAGTCGTTTTTAATAAACTAACAAAGAATATGTTACATTTTAATAAACAATTAAAATATTTAAAGTTATTTTTAACTAAAATTAATTTGTTGTTTTTAATAAAGTTACAAAAATAGTTTACTATATAAAATGACAAATAATTATATAATCCTTTCAGTTTATGTGTATATATATATATATATCTTATTTGTTTTAAAAATTAAATGCCTTTTATATTCATCTTAAATGTATATTTAAACTATAAAAATAAATATAAAAGATGTTATATATATGTAAATGTAAAATGTTAAAGAAAACATGTAAATATAAATGGTTAATCTATCAATGCCAAAAACTAACTATATTTATAAATTGTATATTAAGGTAAAATTAATTTATTTATTCTATTGTATATATTAGTTCATTTAGTTAAACCCTTTATCATAAAAATAGTTCATTTATTTTAAAACATATTTAAGAATATCAATTTTAATTTATCGGTTATTAGATTATTTTTTTAACTATAATTATGTCTTAGTAGATTATTAATATCACATTGTTTCATGTAATAATTTAAATTAAAAATAACTAAAAGGTCGAAAAATCCTTGTTAAAAAAATCAAATTGAAAATGTGAGCTAAACCGGTTGCTGGTTTGATAGTTGTTAGGTAAACCGGTTAATCTTTTATGATGGTTTTCACAGGCCCATATTGATACATACCGGACCCAGCAAAAGCTGTAGCCAGTCTGTAATAATCCTGGGTTTTTGATTTAGCGAAAGAAATCGTCGGTCGACACGTGCGGGAAGTCCTGGTCAACACGTGCGAGCTACACTTCGCCTCTCTCATTGGTTGTAAATCCGCCGATTCCCTCTCCAAACAATTTTTGGTTTACTGATCACTCTCTCTCATCACTCTCTCTCCTAAACCACACCTTTTTACAGCTCAAAATATCGTCTTCTTCCTCTGTCTTCCTCTTCTCGGATCCAATTCGAGGTTCGTGCATATTCCGATTTGGGGGTGGAAGTGCGGATTTTGGGTTTGATTAATCAACGAAGCGATTTCGAGTTCGTTTCGAGATTACTGTACAGTTTGACTCTTCAGTTCTGTTTGTGGTGAGACTGCAATAATTGCCCGAGGGAGTTTGGCTTTATCGGGAGTGGATTTCAATTTCGGTTTCTAATTTTGGAAATTGTGAATGTGAGGTGGGTTTGATCCGTTTTGGGAAACCTTACTGTTTTGCGTTTAGTAAATGTGAATGAGAGAGCATGGAAAGTTTGTGTCTTTATGTTGTAGGAAGCTTGTTATGTAATAGAGAATTTTGTAGTTTGTTTTATGTGTAATGTGTTATTGTAAGAGATGATTTTGTAGTTTTAATTGATTTATGTATAAGGTGTTACTGTAAGAGAGGATTTTTTAGTTTGGTTTATGTTTGTGTATAAGGTGTTATTCCAAGTGAAGATTTTGTCGTTTGGTTTAGGTTTAGGTATAAGGTGTTATTGTAATAGAGATTTTTTTGTAGTTTGGTTTTGGTCCATTTATAAGTTGTTGTTGTGAGAGAGGATGTCAGTGGATGATTCCGAAATCTGGATGCTTTATATAGTTCAGTGTAGTTTCGTACAAATTATATAGCTATTCTTGTTATATAATGTAATGATAGATGTTTCTTTATCTCCAGGTGCTTCTTTTTGTTTCTTGAAGATAAGACAGAGCGTTACCAAGCAGCTGAAAATATGCTAGGAGGGAAACATTCTGGAGTCTGTTCTTTCAGATGACTGATAGTAATTATATTATGCTTCTGCTGATGAAGCGCTGCTGGTCATGGATTCTTTTGATATCACTGCTTTGTGCACTGACAAATGAAAATGAAGCGATTAGTCCTGATGGTACAGTGATATGTTTACTTCCATATTTTGTGTTTGACCATTTACTGCGCCACCAATCCGCTGTCGAGATTCATTCCTTTTTGTTCCTTTCGTTCTCTAGGTGAGGCGCTTCTAAGCTTTAGAAGTGGAATTTCTAGTTCTGATGGTGCCATACGTCAGTGGAGGTCAGAGGATCCTGATCCGTGTAACTGGAAAGGAGTGACCTGTGATGCTAAAACAAAAAGAGTTACAGCTTTGTAAGCTTGTGAATTTTTTGGTTTAACCTCTTTCTTCTTCAATATCTGATAAAGTTTCTTGTGCGCAGGAGTCTTACTCATCACAAATTAAGTGGACCTTTACCCCCTGAGCTTGGAAAGTTGGATCAGTTGAGGCTTTTGTATGTACTAACCTTATTGAATTTTGATTGCTTATTAGAGTATCCATTCCGGCATAACGTTTCTGTATTCCCTTGGTATCGCAGAATGCTTCACAACAATAATTTATATGGCTCAATACCTGCAGCATTGGGGAATTGCACAGCATTGGAGGGAGTGTAAGTTCTTTCTTAAAATACTTAATGCTAAAATTTATAGAATTTTCCTGACAAAAAAAAACAGGTTATGTTTTGTGAATGATGATAAACCAAAGGGGTTTGTCAGTTTAAAGTTTAGCTGGCTTACAAAATCCTCTGAAATTGTGTACTTGCAGATACTTGCAGAATAATTACCTCACTGGGCCAATCCCAAGTGAGTTGGGAAACCTGTCCGGGCTTAAAAATCTGTAAGCAGTCTTTCTCCGTGTTCTTCTGTACAAATTTGTTTTCGTGTTCTCTGGAGGATTTGTTATTTGTTGTTCCATTAGCTACTTTCACCATTTAGTATCTTCTATAATCATATTACTGAACCACAAGATGCTCTTCTCACCTTCCATGCAGTAACAACATAATATTTTTGAAAGTACTCCTTCTTCTAGTTGTGGTAAACCTAAAACGTGCAGGGATATTGACAGCATCATTGTATTCTTAGTGTTGAGAATCTGGTAGTAACATAGTTAATTCCCAACATATATATCGTGAACATTTGATGAGTGAAAATGTCTGGAATATGATAATGAGTCTTGAGTTTATGCTTCACTCAGATCAAATGGACATATTATTTGAATTCTTCTAAACTACTAAACTTTTTATCTCTTTTTATAAAGGGACATCTCAAACAACGGTCTCGTAGGAGCTATCCCTGTTTCACTTGGGCAGTTGGACAAGCTTACTAATTTGTGAGTGCCTACTCGCTTACTTGTTTATTTTGTTTTGCAGCAATGAGTGTATTTTCGAGTGTCGTTGTTGCTAACTAGTTTATTCTTCTTTTAAAGCAATGTCTCAAACAATTTTTTGGTGGGGAAAATACTTTCTGATGGCGTAATCTCCCAGTTTTCGAAGGATTCGTAAGTATACTTCATCTTTACCTCTTTCTCCAACCAGATTTTTGGTAATAAAGATGGAGAAATCTCTCTAATCTTGATTTAGCAAAACATTTATATTTTGTGACTGTACACAAAGCTTTGCATTATTGCGTAGCTGTAAGTAACGGATTGTTGAGCTGATGCATTACTCTTTGCAGCTTCATCGGGAATCTTAAGTTATGTGGAAAGCAAATTGATGTGGTGTGCCAAGATGACAGTGGAAACTTTTCTACTGGTTCTGGGTCTACACCAGGTAACACCAGCTCTGCCTTTATCAATTTGCTGGTCAGGTTATATGGGTTATAGCTTATTGTGACAAGAGTTTGCTTTTTGGTCTCTCCCATGCATATTCCAAGAAGGTAAGACGGGTAAGCTGCTTATAAGTGCATCAGCTACTGTGGGTGGGCTGCTCCTAGTGGCGCTCATGTGTTTCTGGGGATGCTTTCTCTATAAGAAGCTTGGTACTGTTGAGAGTAAAAGCCTTGCGATAGCTGTCGGTGGAGGTGACCATGCTGACTCTTTGTTTTGGAACTATGTTATATTTGACTCTGAAGTAGACACCATGAGAGACGGTTTTATTTTTATCCAGGTGCGTCTATCGTGATGTTCCATGGAGACTTGCCCTATGCTTCTAAAGACATTATCAAGAAACTAGAAGCTCTTAACGAAGAGCATATAATAGGGTGTGGAGGTTTTGGAACAGTGTACAAATTGGACATGGAAGATGGCAATGTTTTTGCGCTGAAAAGGATTGTAAAGTTAAACGAAGGGTTTGATAGGTTTTTCGAAAGGGAGCTTGAGATTCTAGGAAGCATCAAACATCGTTACCTTGTGAATCTGCGAGGATACTGCAACTCACCCACATCAAAGCTTCTTCTGTATGATTACCTTCCTGGTGGTAGCCTTGATCAAGCTCTTCATGGTAAAAATCCTCATCATCTCTTGAACGCTTTCCCTAACCGATAATTATGATTCTACTGAGTGAAATCTTTGGATGTCAGAGAGAGGCGACCAACTGGATTGGGATTCACGTGTAAATATTATAGTAGGAGCAGCAAAAGGGTTAGCGTACTTGCATCATGATTGTTCTCCTAGGATTATACACCGTGATATAAAATCAAGCAACATTTTACTCGATGGAAATCTTGAGGCTCGTGTATCAGACTTTGGACTTGCCAAGTTGCTAGAGGACGAAGAATCTCATATTACAACCATTGTTGCAGGCACATTCGGTTACTTGGCTCCAGGTAATTGCACTAGTAATAACAATAATGCTTTTTATTGTTACTCTCTGTCATGTAACCTATCATGAGTGATGGTTGCAGAGTATATGCAAAGCGGTAGAGCGACAGAGAAAACAGATGTTTACAGTTTCGGAGTTTTGGTTCTTGAAGTCTTGAGTGGTAAAATTCCCACGGATACCTCCTTCATCGAGAAAGGCTACAACGTTGTTGGTTGGGTAAGGAATAAGGATAGTGTGGTCCAGCTTTGGTAATAAACAATGTTTTGTCTACTTAAAAGATTTAATTTGCTTTCATAAAATCTTGCAGCTAAACTTCTTAATCAGCGAAAAACGTGCACGAGAGATTGTTGATAGAAGCTGTGAAGGAGTAGAGACAGGGAGCCTTGATGCTCTTATATCAATAGCAACAAAGTGTGTGTCTTCAAGTCCAGACGAGCGGCCAACAATGCTCAGAGTTGTTCAGTTACTTGAGTCTGAAGTTATGACTCCTTGCCCTAGCGACTTCTACGATTCCAGTTCTGATTGATCCCATTCACACGTCTTTCGATTTCTGTTTTTATATCCACAAGGTTCAAGCCATTCATTTTTCAGTTTCTCTTTTTGTTTTTTTTTTTTGGCTTTTTTATGATCTTTCTTGTATTGGTTAAACCCTTTCAATTGATCTGAATGTGAAACTAAAATGTATATGTTCATTGTAGAAATACTGTAATATTTTTATAAGAAAGATCTGAATAAATTTCTGTATTTTCCACGTAATTTTGATCTACTTTCAGTCAGAAACTATCAAAGGGAAACTATAGAGAATGGTGTCACATTTATTTAAAACTTGGATTGTGTTTTTATATATCTCCATAACATAGACACCATATAAAATTAGTAATTATGGATTGAATTTTCTGAATATGAAACTAAATTTTACATGATAGAAACACTGTAATCTTTTTTTTTTTTTGAATTGAACACTGTAATCTTTTTATAAGAAGGATCTGAATAAGTTCCTATATTTTCCTTGGTACTTTGGAGCTAGTTTCAATCATAAACAATAGAGAATATTGTCACATTTATTTACAACTTTGATTATAATTTATATCTCCATAACATAGTCGCCATATAGTATTAGTAATTATGGATATCATTTTTCTGAATATGAAATAAAATGTATATCAATTGTAAATTGTAATATATTTACTAGAAGGCTATTGAATCATTTTCTAATTTTTATTTGTTTTATATATTTTCTAAGTTTCACTTTGGAGCTACGTTCAGTCTCAAACCATCAAATAGAAAATATAGAGAATGGTGTCACATTTATTTAAAAACTTTTATTATGAATTTATATCTCCATAACATAGGCCACATATGGTATTACTAATTATGGATACTATTAAAGTCAAGCTCGCAGCCGTTTCACAAATCTGCAGAGCAGTCCATACGTTGAAACGACACCCTTCTAGTCTCCAAGTCATACCCAACCAAAAAATCCATCTGAGCAAAGTTCCCATAGATAGCAACCTCAGTGGTCGGAATCATACTCATGCAAACCATATCTTCACTCACTTTCACAAACGCGTTGAGAGGACTCAGCTTCACGTCAGCGCCGGTGAAATGCATAGTTATCTCCGGCAAACCTATCTCCGCGTTCCCTGACTTGAAACAATGTGACAAAAGCCCTTTTGGATCACTCACACGCTTGGCCCCGGTTACGGACTCTTCCACCGCCGCGCCAAAACTGTCGTAGAAACCAGAGTCAAGTAGCGTCAGTGTAGTTCCTGAGTCGATGATTATGTTTCCCTTAGTTGTTGTCTCCGAGGATGTTTCGTAGCTTTCGGTGTACGGAATCTTTGTTTTGCCGACGGAGATAGCTTCTAGGGTTAAGTAATAGTAAGTCTTCGGCTCTTTATCGACCAAAGGAGTTGATAACACGTTGGAGTCTTTACTTGTAACGGAAGGAATCGAGTTTGTTCCTAGGTTTATAACGCTTGTGCCATTTATTGTAGAAGACTTGTGAGACAAGCAATAAGAGAATTTCTTTGAAATCGACGTACCAAGCTGTGAAACTAGTGACAGATCACCACCACCGAGACCGATGATCCCGGAGCCAGTCTCGTCGAAGGTTCCTCCGTTGTTATAGCCGCAACCGAAGACAGTTCCGGGGAAAGAGACAGGGGACCCTGTAACCGAGCCAATGGAGATAGTCTCTGTCGCAACGTCTCCTTTGGTGAAGGACTGGTCTCCGTACGAGTAACGGTACTTGCATACGTTGTGTGACTCATCGCATCCACGTTCGTTGGTAGATAAAGCGTTGCAGTTACGTGAGTCACAAGGCTCGTTCTTGTAAGTGGAGGACTTGCTCTTGTCGAAGATTGGACCGTTCTCTTTGTAACATTGTTGACATGGTTTGCATTGGACCCATGTTAGGTCGCTTCCTGTGTCGGCTATCGCGAGGACGTTCGTTGGTGGTGTACCGATGGTGATACTCATGAAGAACTCGCCTCCTGCTCCTATTAGACCGGACTGGAGATCGGTTTGGGGGTGGTGGTTGAAGCGGCGGGAACGCGAGATGGAGCGGAGGAAAGCTGCGTTGAGACGGTCGGTGAGGGTGGTTTGTGGGTTGTAGAGTGGGGAGTGAGGAGAGTCACGGTGGATGAGTTTGACGGTGAAGTGTTTAGGGTTAGTGGATGAAGAGAGAGTCATCGACAAGATGAAGAGAGTGACGAGGAGATTTGACGTAGACATTTTGGACTTGGAAAGATTGTTGTGGAAATAGTGTTGTGAAGAAGAGTTTTTATACACAGTGAACTAAGAAATTGAAGAGACCGAAACGGTGAGGAGTTATAGCTATAAGTGTGCATGAGGTGAAAGTCTGAAAGGGTATTTGATTAGCTTTTAATTTTTCATTAAGGAAGATAATTTAACGTTAGATTAGTGGGGATGTGGCCATGTGGGCGTAGTAATATCTTGAATTTATCAACATCTTTAAATTTGGGACTTGGGAGGTTTAGATATTTTATCATTTTGAGCACGTATCTAAACTATTAAAGGGGAAGTACAAATAGTATATACCCCTTAGTTTTCCACAAAAATTACAACTTTATATCACTGAAGTTAAAACACAATAGTTTTGATTAATGTCTAATTATTATTTTGTTGGGCTACTGTAAATTTGTTTTTGCCAGCCCATAAAAAGGAATTTCGATGACCTGTTAAATAATATAATTATAGAAAAATGCATAGTTTATACGTACATGTATACTTATAGATATTAGTATTCAAACAAAATAAAAATCAAGTTTAAGAACATGATAAAGTTTTAAAATCCATTTTCTTTATTGAACCCATTATATGAAACTAATATATAAAATCATTCAATAAAATAACAACTCACAAATATATATAACAGAATACAGAAACATGAAAGTAATTTATGTTATGAATTATAAACTAAAATCTAACAAATGAACCCATTATATGAAACTATTATATAAAATCATTAAGTTTTGTGTGTTTTAAATGTTTATGTAATTATAAAAAAATATCCGCGCGTCCGCGCGGGTCAAGATCTAGTAAGTGATTATATGTAATGCATCACACTATAAGCACATGATTTTTATTATTTTGCTATATTCTAGAGACACTAATTTGGTTTTGAGGTTACTTACTTGGTCACACTTTTATTTTATTTTAGATTTACACTTACTTGGTCACAATTTTAATTATTTTTAGATTCGTACACTTTATTTTGGTTTAATCATTTGGTATTGTAAACTTGTAACACAAAGGCTCTCCTTGAGATATTGTTAGTATAGAAATCTCATATTATATAATCATATGATAATACGACTACACTGTGAACAATATTGACTCCTTCATATTATACATGATTCCAAAATGGTGTTATACTAATGCAATGTGCAAGATAGCAGGAAACCATCTGAACAAAGGAGAAGCTTCAGGTGGCACTCTTGGAGCTACCGAATGCTTTTCTGTGTGTGAACCAGGAGCTACCGATATACTTGAAAACAGAGGACAAAGTTTCCTTTGAAATCATGTTCTAGAAATAGTTTTTTTCTTCTTCTAGATATTGAACCTAGATTTGCATGTATGAGGCAATGTTCATTAGATGGCAATGTATAGGAAGTTATATTATCACTAATATTCCACTCACATAGTCACCTTTTCATATTGAATCTTTGTGGCATCAAGAAATGACTGAGGGAGATCAGAGATTTAGTCTGATTGTTAAGCCTCTCTGTCCGGTTTATATGACAAATCAGACAATGAATCTCTAACTAATAACCAAGATGCTCGTACGGAGGATTTACCTCCTATTGACTGTTCTATAATCCTTTCTTTCCATGCATAGATAGCTGCGTCTAACTTTTAAACTGTCTCCAGATCTATCATGTTCGATTATAACTTATAAGCATAAGCGACATAAAGATTTCATCTACCAGAGGCAGACTGATTCGAAGCCAACATCCTGGACAGTTTATCCGCAAGTCTTGTCAATGGAAAACAAAATACATGTCCTCTTTACGTGTAAGCTTATGGAAACATGTAAAATATGAAATTCGACCAAAACCAAGGTTTTACTTTGGGTAATGCATCCTTGATAATGTTAGAGAATCCGCAGTGGGAATATTCACAAGAATCTCTCAACTTTTTTTTTGAGAAATTCCTTAACTAAAAATTAATATAATTTCATGTTGAGATACTAGCCTTAGGTACTATAGGATTATAGTAATTAAAATTATTATCTTTTTTGGACACCCACAAATTAAATATTATAAACCAGAAAACATAGGTAAGACTAATGTTAATGACTTTTAAAAATGTAATGCATTGATACCTATTATGTAGGAACACGAACTTCTGATTAAAAATCACAAAACATAAAGCAATTAACTATAATATAAAGAGTAGAAAATATTTATGAAAAAGAAATAGACCAATCCATGAATTCGAGATTTAGTCTCTTTCCTTAATTCAATAAATCACCCCGTAATATGTGATAATTTTAATACTATTTTTGAATTCCATAATACAACTGTGACAAGACTGTTTCCTAACACCCAAAACAAAATCTATGAACAACTATTACGAACGCTCTTAGGACTTACTTATGAAGACTGCTAAGGTTTTTGCTGGAATTAGCTAATTACGTGTAAGCGTCTAAGCATGTAAAATTATGAAGATAGGCACTAATTTTTATGGGAAGAAAGCTTGACCAACAAGAAAAGGCTAGCGATAAAGGATATAATATTCTGAGAATATTCATGTTTATCGTACGAGCTGCAAGTATTCCAAAATTATTTTGACACAATCTAAAATGTTTATATTTATCGAGATATAATAGACACAACACTACAAGAAAACTAAGAGTTTACTAGGAAATTTTATTAGGAAATTATTTCCTCGTAAATTTACGTCGAAGTTACTAGGACTTTACGAGGAAAACTAGAAGCAAAGTAAGTTCTTCGTAAAAAAAACGAGAAAACTGTTTCCTCGTAAGGTCGTAGTACAATTACGAGGAACTTACGTCGCAAAAGAACATTTCCTCGTAATTTCGTAGTAAAACTTTTCCTCGTAAAGTCCACGTAAAACATTACAGTCAAATTGGGCAGAGGGGAGGCCCTTCGTGAAGATATAAGCAAGTTGCTCGGATGTGGGAATATATTGCACAGTAATGTCACCTTTGACAACCTTTTCCCGTACAAAATGGTAGTCAATTTCCCACTTGTCCGATTGTTGCTGAGCAGTTTTTGGATATCAAACGGACCTCTCCAGAAGGTAATTTTAATGTGGCTGATTTCCCCTCTTTTGAGAAAGGCTTCTTTTCTCTAGCCAAAATTAGGAGGAAATGTTCTGTTACTTCTAATTAGCGAGGAAATGGCTAGAAAATATGTATTTTAAATCTAGAAACGTGTTTTGTATCTACTTTTCATCGCAATTTTCTGTTACTTCTAATTAGCGAGGAAATGGCTAGAAAATATGTATTTTAAATCTAAAAACGTGTTTTGTATCTACTTTTCATCGCAATTTCCTAGTAAATGTTCAGATTCGAAAATTTCTATAAATACCACCATTTGTGATTCATTTTAAACACACCAAAAAAAAAAAATCAGCTTTAAGCTTGATCAAAGAAAAAAAAATGTTCGGTCCTGGAAATATTTTTGAGTTGCGGAAGTGGATGTATTCACATAGAGATAATAACGAGAGAGTAACGAAAGAATTTCTCGAAGGGTTGGAGACGTTTATGCATCGAGCATATTCTACACCACTCACGCAGGAAAATGGTAAGATGTTCTGTCCTTGTCGGAAATGCTTCAATACAAAATTAGACCCTCGTGAAAATGTTTGGAAGCATTTAATAAATAGAGGTTTCATGCCATATTATTATGTTTGGTATCAACATGGAGAAGATGCTATAGGAATGAAGCTAGCAGTAGTAATAGCAATTTTCAGGTTGAACCGGTTGATCATTTGCATAATGAAAATAGCTATCACCAGGAGGAAAAAATAGTAGATTGTGATATGGTTCATGATATGGTAGGTGATGCATTTGTAACTCATGATGATGATGAATTTGAAGAACCTAACTTAGATGAAAAAAAGTTTTATGAAATATTAGAAGCTGTGAATGAGCCAATTTACAGTGGTTGTAGAAAAGGTATGTCTAAATTGTCGTTGGCTGCTAGAATGATGAGTATTAAAACCGATCACAATCTACCAGAAAATTGTATGGATGCATGGGCAGGCTTGTTTAAAGAGTATTTGCCTGAAGACAATGTGTCTGCTGAATCTTATTATGAGATTCAAAAATTGGTATATAGTCTTGGGTTGTCCTCAAAGATGATATACGTTTGCATCGACAACTGGATGATTTACTGGGGAGATGATGAGAATTTAGAAGAATGTCGATTTTGTAAGAAGCCACGATTCAAATCGCAAGGTCGAGAGCGTAATAGGGTACCGTACCAAAGGATGTGGTACCTACCAATCACACACAGATTGAAAAGATTGCACCAATCTGAAGAGACTGCTGAAGGGATGAGATGGCAAGCCGAGCATACTCAGACGGATGGAGAGATGACTAATCCATCAAATGCAAGAGCTTGGAAAGATTTTAACAATGTACATTCACATTTCGCTAGCAATAGCCGGAATGTGTATCTTGGATTATGCACTGATGAATTTTGTCCATTTGGAATGTCAGGGAGACAATATTCATTGTGACCAGTCTTTCTGACACCGTATAACCTGCCACCGGAGATGTGCATGCGATGAGAGTTTCTATTCTTGACCATATTGATACCTGGTCCAAAGTATCCAAAAAGATCTCTCGAAGTTTTTCTACAACCACTGATAAAAGAGTTGAAAGATTTGTAGTCAACAGGGGTGAGGACATATGATTGTTCAACGAAAACAAATTTTACGATGCAGGCGATTCTTTTGTGGACCATAAGTGACTTTCCTGCATATGGGATGTTGTCTGGGTGGACTACACATGGGAGATTAGCTTGTCCATATTGTAATGGAATGACAAATGCGTTTCAGTTGAAGCATGGTAGGAAGACTAGGTTGTTTGATTGTCGCCGTCGATTTCTTCCTGTTTACCACCTATACCAAAGAAACAAGACATTGTTCAGGCACAAAAGGATTGTCAAAGACACTCCTCCTCCATATTTAACTGGAGAACAAATCGAAGCGCAAATCGATTACTACGGTGCTCTAGA